TGATCTTGCCTTGCAACCTCTCAGTGCAAAGATCAAGGACTTTACTGCGCCCTCGAGCAGTATTGCACCATGCTACCCACCTTCAGGTGCGGCTTCCTCAATGGTGTCGGTACCATGGAAGGGCAACAATGAGTCTATACAGTGAGGTAACCCGACACGTACACCCCTTATCCCTGAGACCGTGGCATTTGAACATGGCACAGAATGGGTCACTCGTGGGATTTTTCCGTTCGAGACGACTATCATCTTGTTCAGTGCTGGAGAGACACGACTTCAAGTGGGTCAGTCAGAAAATATATCTCCAAAAGCGTAGCCATCGCCACATCTAGTTGGAGTACGCAGCCACGCCTACCACATATCATGGAATATCGTGTGTAGATATACCTGATCTCTAGCTACTGCTGATGTGTATAAGGGAACCACGTTTTCAACCTCAACATTGTTGAAATAGCCTTCATCGTCATCGTCGCAATGTTCCCAAGTAGACTTCATAGAAACATCGTATTCCAAGCTTTCGTCGGTGTCTGCTTCGACACCACTTGCGAAACCGTCGCGTGATAAAGCAGCGAACCTTGCGACAATTTTTCCCTCCCGAGTTGCAGTAACATTGTATTTCGGCGATCCGAATGCTGCCAGGACTATCGAAACACCTTTGCTGGAGATGAGGATGCGGAAAGGCAATGAATATAAATCAATGATACAGCGGCAGGTATCAATTTGACCTGCTACGAGTTGTAGCTACGTTGGCACGTATTGGTGTCGGTCGAAAAATCAGGAAAAAAAATCATGAATTAGAAATAAAGCAGAAACTTCGATACTCTCGGGAACCGAAGCATAATGCTGTGCCTGTGCGGCGAGACCTCTACCGGTGAACCACCACATGTCTTGTCCTACGCGATCCTTCGCTTATGCTTCATAGCTCACCACCAACCCTCCACCGTACTGTACAAATTATTACAAACTTTACCTGCTCATAAGTTGCTTGTGAAATGCAGGTTGCAGTTTTGCTATCTATATTTGTAAATAGCTTACAGACTCTATCGATCTACCCAGGTCTCCATTCAAAGTTCCACGGTAAGTTGAGGGACCTCCCTGGTAAGGGCCAGCACGCGCGGTGATCGCAACGCCGCGGGGCGGGGTATCGAAGGGAAATTAGGGCGTTATAGATTTCAATGAAAGTTAAACTCAGAAATGCTCACGTGAATAACGTTGAACTGAGACATAAGGTTCAGCGTCCATTGTGGTGTCCAACAAAGGAAGTAGAAAAGAATAACAGCAACGATACGCTTCGTAACCTGTAAACTGGTACTTTCAGCGGTTCGTGTAACTACTCCCTCTACAACATTACTCTTCTACCGTTTTTATTCATTCTCATACCAGTGTTCATAGTTGATAAAGTCTCAATAATAATAGGGGCGTTAATAAAGGGCGTTGCAAGGGAGGGATGGAGACAAAATGAGCTTGCCTCTGGCTATCTTGCTCTACAAATACTAA